GACACATACCAATCTCCTGAAATCTCATTGAAAAGATCCGATATTAAATGCTAAATTGTCGTAGACATGTTTTTGATGTTCGATTTATACGTCGATGCAAATAATAGAAAAACAAATGTGAATATGACAAGGAGGCCTTCATCTTGACTACGAAGATCTTGTCACAAAACCCTGATTTTTATACAATTTGGAATTTTAGGAGATCAGTTCTTTTAAATGAGATTTCAGGAGATTGGTATGTGTCGATAACGTGATTATTTCACAAAAATCTAGTCATTAATATTACAATTTCGAAACAGTTCTGATGAAGAAAAACAGCAAAAATTTTCTTCCGAATTACTATTCCTTCAAGATGTCTTTCGACTTAATCCAAAGTCATATTGGATTTTCAACCATAGACGATGGTGCTTAGATAATATGCCTAATCCTGATTGGAAAAATGAATTGGATCTTGTATGTAAAATGTTAGATATGGATGCAAGAAACTGTAAGAACTTGCTAAGTTGACAATTTATTACGAGTTTTAGAATTGGCCTTATTTATTCTAATTTTTATCATAAAGTTCACGGATGGGATTATCGGCGTTATGTGATATCAAAGCTTTCTTGTATTGATTCAAGTGCAGTAAATACCTGTAAAACCGAATTTGATTTTACCACTACTAAGATCAATCAAAACTTTTCAAACTATTCCGCATGGCATCAACGTAGTAAATTGTTGCCAAAATTAATGGAAGATAAAGAACTTGATGATCAAGAAAAAAAAAATCTTATCGATCAAGGTATATTAGAATTTTATAACCTTGTTATTCATTAAACAAGAATATACATTAAAATTCTCAATGGTATCCATGTATGTCGAAGAATTCGAGCTTGTTAAATCTGCTTTTTATACAGACCCGGATGATCAAAGCGCTTGGCTTTATCATTGGTGGTTAATCGGCAGAGGTTTGTATTATTACGTATTTTTAACATCTTTTAAGGCAACATTAATGGTATTTTATTTGATAAAACAATCAGAAATTCGGCACATTTCCGTTCTTGGAGCATATTATGACCTACAAAACTGTCAAATCATTCTTGCATTTGATGATGAAGTTGGTATGTTAACACCTTTCCAAGTCACATGCAAGGATGATACCTCGCAAATGAACATTGTCGACGGGTATTGGCGTTCGGTCTCTGGTGACTCTGACGTAGATCGAATGTATGGATTTGTGTGGATTTTCACCCTGAACATGAAAAGTGACTTCACTGAACTTGTTGTTACAGTGAAACCGGAATGGATAGTGCCTTCTCACTCCGAAGTAAAATTAGTTCGAAACATTCAAATGTGCTGTCATATTGGACAAAATAAAGGTATTTTGGCGGTGTTAACTCTTTTAGGAACGAGTGTCTTTTAGTTTATAAACAATATATTTTGAATCCAACATTTATAGACACATTAATACAAATGTCACAAATTGTGACTGAAAATATGAAAATTCATCCACCATCATTGCGTTCCAATGAAGACATATTACCAATGACAATACAAGAAAGAATAAATCGTCTTAAAGATGAAATTGCTACAGTGAAAGAATTGCTGGAAATAGAACCAGAAAGCAAATGTCAGTAGTAATCCCTAAGTATCTGTTTAAGTCTTTATTAATTAAAGACATCTAAATTATGTCTCTGTTAATAGGGAGTTTACAAACCTTAACAATTCTTCTACGCGAACTTAAATATATTTCTGGATTGAATACAGAAGAGGCCATGAACAATGATCAAGAAGTTATTACAATCTGCGATCAATTGATTAAGCTTGATAAATTCAGAACGAAACGGTTTGAAGATTTGCGTAAGTTTATATATTAAACTACTACAATTATATTTAAACCATTGTAAATTTAATAATCCCACATGTCAATTTTGTTAAAATTAGGTTCAAAAGCAATATTTGAAACAGCTATAAATAATTTAATTCAAGCATCTCCTGATGCTCTACAGGAGATTACATTTAGAGATAATAAGTTAATTATATCAGAAACAACGCAATTATCTACGTTTACACTAACTAGTAAAAACCTTACCCTTATCCCCACGCCGTCTATTTTGTTGCATATTCGTATATTGGATTTATCACATAACAAGCTTACTTCTATTACTTTTATTTCCAATTTGATTCATCTACAAGAAGTAGACGTTCGTAATAATTGCATATCAAGTATAAATGGAGTGAACAGGTTAAGATTTTTAAGAGTGCTAAATGTTCAATCAAATTTAATAGGATCATGGGAAGCAGTTAAAAATGGTTTTGTGAAATGGCAAGGTGGTGAATGTAAAGTATATTTATCTGGCAATCCGTTTATAGATGAGAGTTTCGAGAAGGAGACGAAATGGAAAACAGAGATGAATGACATAGCACGGAACGTTAATATTACGATTAGATCTTAAATACCAATTCATTCAATTATATAATTATTTTTAAATTTTATGGATATCATTGTTTCAGACGTGCATTTTCCTAAATATTATAATCTATTAAAAAAAAGATCAATACGGTTCCTCAAAAATATGGGGTTTGTGGCATACTTTTAATCTCATTTCTGGAGGTTTTTTTGTGTGAAGTAATTGTAAGAATTATTCATGACTTACCCTCTACTTAATATTGAGCAATATTAAGTAATTGTTACCAGTGTGAAATATCTAGTGTTCTCTGTGTTCTCAATAAAATATACCAGGTGTTTCGAAAGTCACTATGCAAGTCCCTTTTTAAAGATGACCTTATATAAAGCTTACATAAAGTCTACATATCAAAAATTACATCTTTTGTATGAATAATCGTGGTCTCTATATAATGTTACTTAAAAAAAGAAACATGTATATATAGTGACTTTTGAAACACCTGGTATTTCTGAGAAACATTTAAAGGAGCTCGCCTCTGAAGGGGTAAAATAAATGGCAAATCTTATAATAAACAAAATCGGAAGTTCATGTTTTTCTATAGTACAATAATTTTTCTGATTCTAATGGTGGTAAAATCATAAAAATCGGTTGGATAAATCATGAGATATAAGTATTTTTCAATTTTTACTATAGGAGTTTTTCTTAATATTTGAATCACACGGGATTCCGCTTCTATATAAGGCAAATAGTAAAACTGCGTCGTCTCGACAAGCTTTACAATTTAGAGATTCCAAGGTGATTAACTTAGTACAAAAAAGTTTTCCTCTGCATTTTCGCCTATAGTGATTTACATATTGGGAGCTTTTCAATAGAAAGGAGGAAAATTTCTTCTAAGTAAAAGTTTTTAAACTTTCAATTAAAATATCTCAACAACTATTAATCTAAATTTAATAAAATTTAATTTAATAGTTATTGAGATATTTTAATTTAAAATTTAAAAAAAATGTTACTAAAAACTTTTTCCCCTTTTCTATTGAAAAGCGCCCAATATATTATCTGCATTAGAGTTGGTAATCGAAACGAAACCTACCCGAAACTAGTTTCGGAAAGCTCTAATCCGAAACTAGTTTCGGATTTTTTAAAAAAAGCCGAAACCTCCGAAACCCGAAACCCCGAAACTATAATCCGAAACCTCAACTATAATCCGAAACCTCAAACTATAATCTGAAACTTT